CCGCTGAGCCTGCGCGTCCGGAGCCTGTGCTCCGCAACGGGAGAGGCTACAACAGTGAGAGGCCCGCGTACCGAAAGAAAAAAAAAAAAATCCCCTTCACTATATTCCCTGTTTCTCTGCTGTAATTCCTGTCCAATGTCTTCCTAGCTCCTTCCACGGTAACTGCCTAACCATTTACCTACTCCCGAACCAGCTTTGTCCCTTTCTTTCTCTTCGCACTGGTCTCAGATCACTCTCTCCCAACTTCCGGACTCTGTGTCATTTCTCTTTGGCCTTATCCTCTATTGGGAACACACCAGAATTTTGCATGAGAAATTGAAGCCCCATAAGAGTAGATATAGGGCAAAATAAGATGATGAAAACTGAGTTTTATATTATGAGCTTTTACCTTGATTAAGAAAAAATTAAAAGTGGCAAAATACCAACATATTCAGTAATCAAAAAAACCCCAAAATATTTTATGTCCATAATTTTTTAAAAGTTGAAAAACACAAAGAACTGGCTTTATGCATCCTGGACCTCTGTCTCCACATATGGAGAACATTTGCACAGTAGGGGATTTTTTTTATTAAATCAGTAATATAAATAAAATGTCTTGTGTGAATGAAGGTTGTATATATAAAGAGAATTTTCTTCCTCTCTCAGGCCATGGGTGGAAATTTCCAAACTGAGTAATATGCAGTTGAAGATTACAATTTAAAACATGACATGTTCCACTAAGATTCAAAGAGTTTGTATATATAGGAATACAGTTTCACATTTGCACCCATATTATAGAGAATTTATAGTATAAATTCCTATTGTGAAGCATCTTACTAGTCTAAAAATATACTGTATTTCTTCATTTCCTTCACACAGAACCACGTGTAAATAACACAGCCTTGAACAGAGATGCTATTATTTCACCTTGACGTCAGGGTCATGTGAAGGTCCTACAGGACGTGTTCACAGAGAGGATAAAGGACCACTTATTGGGAGGTTCGAGTTTCAGATAGCTTGCTCAAATACCTTCATGGCTCTTCCCAATCACAAAATTCTATTGCCAAACAGCACTAAGAATGTCTGCATACGTGATACTAAACATCAAACAGTGGTTTGAATCCTCGGACATATGTACCAGTTTTAGCAATGGTTCATAAATAACTGCATGGTTACTTCACACACAGGGTACATGTACTGAGGCTCAGCCTTTATCCACGAATCATTTCTACACATGTTCTTTAGAGGAATAAAATACTTATTCTAAGACAGGGCATCTCAGACTTTTTCAGAAAGGCAGAGATCCAGAACATACGCTCTTACTTGCAGAACACCATTTTCCTGTAAAATACTTTAAAAAATACAATATATTCAATATATTTTTTACTTCATCTACACACCGTTTTTATATATTTTTACTAGCAACAAGAAATGCACTTCATATTATTTGGATACCATGTAAACGCATAACCACCGGCTCACACGTTTTAAAACAAAATAAAACACCCAACAAACTGCTGAGCCAAGAATAAACGATTGGTTTTGAGTTTTCCTGTGGATATGAATTTGCAGTTTCAGTTTCTTCTCTCATCGACTGGCAACCTTAAGCAGGAAAGTGGTGTCTGGAGCCAAAGACTTGTAGAAAAGGATTGGAGAACAATTTCAATTGAGAACATGCGATCCATTAACTTTTTTTCTTTTGCACACAGGGTAAAGGCGATCATTACTCCATATTACAGTCGAACGCTCCCTCTCTACAGCTTATGGAACACTAGTGCCCCGTGGGAACAAGTACGAGCAGCAGTGGATTAAAGGAGTGTGAAAGAGAGTTATTAGAAGCCTGAATGTGAGCCCTACCCATGGCATCAGGCACAAATATACGACTGAATGGAGCCTGGCCCAGCTCACTGTGGAAGCACACCCAGGCGAGGAGGGGCCTCAACCCTGCCTCAACCCTTCTTCCCTGGTTAGGGCACACG